TTTATGGTATGAGAATGGAATTGAATGATACGAAAAGTGAGAATAAAGTGTTGTAAAATAGAGAAGTGAAAGTGAAAAACTAGTCTTTAAGCAGTATAGATACAGTGGTGGTGAATCTAGAGGGATGACCATGTTAGTATAAAATGAAATGCAAGAGCATGTGCAATAAACAATTACAGAACTCCATTCTACTAGAATATAAAGCTACATAGGAAAAATGGTTCTTAATAGTTGTTTTTTCTTGATCTTTTTGAAAAAAAATTTTTTAACAGAATTTTTGCTATTGTCTTCTGAATGAAGTGTCCACTATTTGGCTTTTCGGGCTTTCTTGACAATAGGTGGTTGTGTCTGCACACTAGATTAATATTAATGATTTTCAATTTCATYGTATCATACCTGACAGTGAGAGATAAAGTACCCAACAATCAATCACCGGCATTCACCTTTTATTGAAACCTCTGTGATAATTTATATACCTAAAATATAGTTTTAACACAAGATGTTAGTTGAAAGTTCATGCTATTTTATTTCGTGAAGCTTATTTTAGCTAAACAAAAAAGGTTCCCAAGATATTTTGTTTTTCATATTTTACAGAATCTTTTGATAATACTAATACTAGGCTCCCAAGATTTTGTTTTTCATATTTTAATGCCAATACTTGGATAATACTTGATAATACTAATGCTAGGAAATTCAAAACAATTCAACTACTGTATATTTTCACTTCACTCATGTTTTTCTTGGTGATGGTGTAATGCTTACAGCTTTTTAGAATATGGGACTAATAGGCTTGATAATGTTTATAGTGGGCAATTATTTTTTCTTGAAAAATATATCCAGCATGTCTTGGTAGTTTCCGTAATAGTCTTACTTTTTGGAACCTGCCTTTTGATTTCCCTATAGTAAAGCATCTATTCTGTTGGTATGGGTTTTGTTTAATTGTGTTCAAGATTAACCTTTGTCATTTTGTTAATCTATTGGCATTTAAAAAATCAACTTCAAAATTCCAATTGATCAAGRAATCCAACCTGTGACCCCCAGAAGTGAGTGTACTGCTATGTCAAGTTTGATCTCCCTGTTATTGTTAACAGGTTACTAATCACATTGAAAACAAAATCTGTGGTGTAATTTAATATTGTGATATAACAGGATTTACCTGTTTTGTCATGGTTGAATGAT